AGAGCTCCCTCCAAATTGAGCAACTAGACACCCAGGAAGCTGGACTCCTCCTCCTTGCCTCTTCTCTTCCCATCCACCTCAGAGAGAGAACAGAGATGGAATCAGAGAGAGAAGACAGGGTAGAAAGAGAGGCCAGAAAGAAAACACTAATGAACTTTTTTTTGCAGGTACTTTATTTTTAAAATATTGAGATTTTAATAAAAGTTTATAGAGAACTTGGATTCACATTCATTCATTGTTGCACATTTTACTCCTTACCCACATTTCCAGTTCGCTTTTCTCTTTGAAAAAAAAATTCTTTTATTGTTATACACCCCCACCCCCACCCATGCAGGTGCTTGCATAAGTGATCAAGGAGGAAGGCTTAGAAGAACACTCAATATCCAGTAATATTGGAGCCTTGAAGAGAGGGATGGGAAAGAGCATAGCTTTTTCACTTTCTCTTTGTGTTTTCTTTTTTAAAAAAACCAAAACAAACAAAAAACCCCAAACAAATAAAGAACCCTAAACACAGTGGGCTCAAGTGTATCAGAGACGGTAATGATGGTAAAGGACAGGGTAGGATTCAGATCTGCTGTTTGTAGGGTTGCTATGAGTCGTGGGTGAGCAGGTGAGAGGGCAGGGAGGTAGATCTACTCTCTTGGCCAACACTTGTCCTAGGGCTAGGAGTGATTCTTGCTTCCTCAGCTCAGTCAGGAACCAAAACTGGACGTGGCTGGTAAGGTGGTAGTGCTTGCCATGGCCAGGAGGTGGCAGCACACCCCCAGCGGTTTGCAACAGGTGTCTAGTGTTGTGACTTGGCCATGGAGCAGGAACTGAGTCAAACACCTGCCCAGCAGGCCCTTTCCTGGTGAGGTGGATGTGTACCTCAGTATGCCTTTATTTAGCTTAGAAATATTTGTGACTGTTTGGGAAGCCAGGAAGGCCAGACTGCTTAGCTGTTCCTGTAAGTTGCAGATCCAGAAGTTCTTCCTCCTAGCACTCTGGGCAGAACTGAGGGGCCAGAAGTCTGAGGAGGCAGTGAGAGAGTCCTAGGTCTTGTTCTCTGCTTCCCTTAAAACAACAGTGTAGGAGCTCTGGTGGCCTAGTGGCAAGAAGCTGTGCTGCAATCCTGAAGGCACGCAGTTCGAATTCAACAGATACTCTGCTGGAGAGGGAGGGGCAATCTCCTCCTGTGCCAAGTCAGATCCAATTCAACGGTATACAACAACAACAATAAAATAAACCACAAAAAACCAAGCTAAACAACAATGTAGAAAATACATGAGAGAATCTTGGTGGCTATGTTTGTTTTTACTAATATGAAAAACAGTATAAACCTTTTAATACCTTTTAAAAGGATGTAAAAATGAAAACTAAAAATGAGCTATAATCCCTGCACTTAGGACAACCTCTGTTGACAATAAAATAAATGCAGTAATTTTGTTTATATTTAAAAATATGAACTGTTGTTATGTTCCATCGAGTCGCTTGTGACTCATAGCGACCCTATGTACAATGGCCCTAAACCCTCCTCTATCCCTTGCCAGTCTTATTGTTTCTGATACTCCTATCCCCATTACCCCAGTGATGGAATCAATCCATCTCATTGAGGGTCTTCATCTCCTGCACTGTCCCTCTACCCTCCCAAGTATGATGTCCCTCTCCAAGGACTTATCCCTCCTTGCAACATGTCCAAAGTCCTTGACACACACTCTTCCCAATCTTGAACCATGCAGTGTCTCCTTGCTCTGTTCTGACAACTGCCTTCTAGTCCAAGTTTTGCATAAGCACAATCAAGTGTACTGGGATTCCCATTCTTCTCAGAGTTAGCCACAGTTTGTTGTGATCCATATAGTCAAAAGCCTTTGCATAGTCAATGAAACACAGATAGACATTCTTCTGGTACTCTCTGCTTTCAGCCAAGATCCATCTGACATTAGTTATAATATCCCTAGTGCCAAAGCCTCTTCTAAATCCAGCCTGCACTTCTGGCAGTTCTCTGCTGATGTGCTCTTCCAGTCATTTTCGGATTATCTTCAGCAGAATCTTGCTCACATGTGCTATCAATGATATTGTTTGATAATTTCCACAAGCTGTTGGATCACCCACTCTTTTTTGGAATGGGAACAAATATAGATCTCTTCCAGTCAGCAGGCCAGGTGGTTGTCCTCCAGATTTCTTGGCACAACTTGGTGAGCACATCCAGGGCAGCATCTATTTGTTGAAATATGTCAATCGGTATGCCATCAATTCCTGGGACCTTATTTTTTGCCAATTCAGAGCAGCTTGAACTTCCTCCTTCATCACCACAGGCTCTTGCTCATATGTTGTTTTATGAAGTTCTTCTGTGTCCACCAATTCCTTTTGGTACAATGACTCTGTATACTCTTTCCATCTTTTTTAAAATATTTTTTTATTTAATAAAAGTTTACAGAGACTTCGGATTTCCGTTCATTGTTGTGCTTTTCTCCCTGCCCAGCCTCCCCTACAGTTCGCTCTTCATTTTGAAAAGTGAAAGAAAAATTCTTTCGTTGTTATACAATCCCTCCCCCCAAGTCCACTCCACTATGCAGCCTTTATTCTGGACTCCTGTCATGATAATAATACCTAATCTCATATCCCTTTTAAACAGTTCTCTCCTTCATCTGTTTCAATGCAGTATACATAATTTATCCCATCTTTCTCAATCTCACCCCAACCCCAATGTCAGTCCTGTTTTACAACAGTGGCACCATGCAGTATTTGTCCTTTTGTGACTGAGATATTTCACTCAGCATAATGTCCTCCAGGGCCACCCATTTCGTATAATATTTTCTGAGTTCCTTGTTTTTAATGCTTTGTAGTATTCCATTGTATGAATATACCAGAGCTTCTCTATCCAGTCGTTTGTTGATAAGCACTTAGGTTGTTTCCAGTTCTTTGCTACTGTGAATAAAGTCGTGATAAACATGGGTGTGCATCCATCTTCTTTTTTTTTTCTTTTTGCATCCATCTTTTAATGCTACCTGGATCATTTAGTATTCTGCCCAAAGTGTCCTTAAGTATTGCGACTTAAGGTTTGAATTTGAGTCAGAAGATCATATGATCTACTATGCTGGAGACAAAAAGGTGAGGAAAAAATAGGGTTGCTTTCATAGTTGAAAAAGTCTTTTCTAGATAGTCTTAAAATACAATGTTGTGAGTGAGAGGATATATCCATATGCATACAAGGAAGTCCAGTGAATACCATTATCATTCAAATACACACACCAACAACCAGAGTCAAAGAGGAGGAAATGGAAGATTTCTACCAACTTTTGCAGTCAGAGATTGATCAAAAATGTAGTCAAGATGCATTAATAATAGGGGGTAACTGGAATGTAAAAGTTGGGAATTGAGAAGAAGGATCGGGAGTTGCAAAACATAGACTTATCAGAAATGAAGCTGGATGTAGAATGATAGAATTTTGCACAATCAATGCCTTATTCATTGCAAATACATTTTAAAAGAAACACAAACACAGGCTATACTCATGGATTTCACCTGATAATATGCACAGGAATCAGATTGATTACATCTGTGGAAAGAAGCTCAATATCAGCCGTGAAAACTAGGTCAAGTGCTGATTGTGGAACAGACCACCAATTGCTCATATGCAAGTGCAAGCTGAAGCTGAGGAAAATTGTAAATCAAGTCCACAGGAACCAAAATTTGACCTTGAATCTATCCCATTTGAATTTCAAAACCATCTCAGGAACAGGTTTGAGGCCTTGGACATTAATGAGCGAAGACAGGATGAGCTGTGGGAGGATATCAAGAATATCCTCCAGGAAGAGTGCAAAAGGTTATTACAAAGACAGAGGAGAAAGAAAAGACCAAAATGGATGTCAGAAGAAACTCTAAATACTGCACTGGAGCACAGAGAAGCCAAAGCAAAGGGAAGAAATCAAGATATTAAGGAGTTGATCAGAAGATTCCAGAGGGTAGCACGGGAAAACAAAGTAAGATATTATAATGAAATGTGCAAGGAGCTGGAGTCAGAAAATCAAAGGGCAGAACTCGCTCAGCATTTCTTAAGCTGAAGGAATTGAAGAACATGTTCAAGCCTCGAGTTGCAATACTTAAGGATGTGTTGGGCAGAATACTAAAAATATGAGCTAACAAGTGTAAAATGAGAAGTAAAACACTCCCTTTGCAGCACCTTCTTTTTCTCTGAAGGAAATCACTGCTGTGTTTATTTGCCTCCAGAAATGGGAAAAACCTCACCTATATGTACCTAAATATCTATAACTACTTCTATTTCATTTATTTGTTTGTGTTAACAACAACAACAAAGACATTATATCACTGCTGTGAACCTTGCCTTCTGTCCCCATAACCTTAGAGCATAGAGACAGATCTTTCTCTGTCATCATTTTTGTAAATGGGTCTCTCTGTTGATAGGGATTTGGGCAGTTTCCAGCTACACCCACTGCCATCAAGTCAATTCTAACTCATGGTGACCTTTATGAACAGCACCCTAGGGTTTCCGTGGCTGTAAATATTTGCACAGCAGACTGCCTCATCTTTCTCCCTCAGAGCTGCTGATGAGTTTGGACCACCAGTGCTGCAGTGAACATCCGTGCATATTTATTTACGTTGACATACCTCTGTAAATCCCAGTCCCTAGGAGTGGATCAAAAGCCTTTTAAAACTTGATGACTTCATTTTTCTCTAGAAAGCTTGCTCTGTACATTCTCACTGAGACTGTGTTGAGAGTGCTTCTTTCCAAGTGGCTGTAGAAAACCAGGATACTGTGCTGCTGCCACTTCTGTGGCTCCCATTGACATTTGCAGGGGCGAGACTGGTACCACCATGGAAGTCCCCATGGTGGGTGTGCGAGGATGGTGTCAGTTTGGGAGCCAGCAGCCTCTCTTGTTGCTGATGTTGACAGGAACTCCTGCAGTTTCACCTGTACAAAGTGTCACTATAGCAGGTGGTCAGCCCTGAGCAAGGGCCCTGGACAAGGAATGAAGGATTGTGTATTCTAATCCTTTCAGGTGAAGAAAGCGTACCGACAGAAGGCCCTCTCCTGCCACCCAGACAAAAATCCAGATAATCCCAGAGCAGGTAAGACTCTCTGCGGGCTCGCGTGTTGTGTTTTCTAAGCTCCCCAGTAGTGGAGTGATTGATGTGGTGTGAAGCTGCAATTGGGCCAGGCTTCACCTCCTATGGGAGGGGGGGTCTGCACAGCTACCAAAGCGCTTGTCCTTCCCTGCTGGCCCCACCAGCACCACTGAGGATGCTTTTCTGCCAGCCTGTGACTTCTTTGAAGTGCTATTTTGAGGGAGCATGTGATTGCTTGCCAAATCTAATTCTGCTTTTCTCTTCTTGTTTTGATACTATATTTAGCTGAACTCTTTCACCAGCTTTCTCAGGCCTTGGAAGTACTGACTGATACTGCAGCCCGGGTAAGTGCATCCTCCTTTGTGATTGTCCCCGTTGTTTCCTTGATTGGCCAACAGGTGTTTGGTCACTCGGTTCAATCAGCCTTTGTCTCTGCACTCTGCTGTGTGGCATGGTCCTTGCTCTCAAGCTCTGGAGACTCAGTTAGCAGACTGCATTCCTTTCTCCTGACAGGCTGCTTATGACAAGGTCAGGAAAGCCAAGAAGCAGGCAGAGGAGAGGACCCAGAAGCTCGATGAAAGAAGAAAGAGAGTCAAGCTTGGTACGTGACGTTGTTGCTTGGTTTGGCCTGCGGTATCATTTCCCCTTGGTCATTTTCATCTTTCTTCCTCATGTTTCTTCTTAGGGCTTCAGTTCCAGCACCTGAAAGCCTTGTGAGGAAGGGAGGCTCTGGGCAGAGTCTTAGGACCTGAATTCTAAGGACATCTTAGGAATAATAGCAATTACTAGACTTGCTATTAGCTAAGCATTGTGATAAACACTTTATTGTTTCCTTTAATTATCATAACTATCCAGGGAGGTGAGTGTTACTAAAGCCATTTCTTATAGACAGAGGAGCTGATGCACCAAAATGATAAGAACTTGCTGAAACTGGGATTTAAGCCTGCACAGCCTCAAATTGGTGCTCTTGGTCATCATGCTGCTCTGTGTCTTTTTCATTCACCCTAGTAGCTTCATTCTTGTCCAGAACGTTCATCTGAGAAGCCCCCAGAAGGATCCAGAGAGGCCCTGGTTCAGGCATTCCCTCTTTTGTTTTTAATCAGCTGTATTGTCCCTGCATGGTACAAGTGATTAATGTGGTTGGCTGCTAACCAGAGGTACCTGGGAAGCAAGGCATTGCAATCTGCTTTAGAATCATTAGCTGTTGAAAACCCCCAGTAGAATTCTGCTCTGACCCACATGGGGATCTCATGAATTGGAGTTGATATTATCTATTTGGTTTTGTTTGTTTTTCATTTTACTGAATTATCCTTTATGTTTCCTCAATTCTTCTATTTATAGAGTCTTAATAGATTTTTAGCAAATTTCCTGTTCATAAATTATGACCATACATCACTTTGAGAACCTTGTTATCAACCGTACTAAGATTGATCACAGCTTTATTTCCTCAGTTTCTCCTCTTCTCTTATTCATATCCATATATTTAGTATTTATGCCACTCTAGTACTCTCACTTCTCTTATTTAAAAATAAAGTAGGCTTTAGAGACATAAAGATCACAGAAAGGAATGTGGTGAGTCCCAAGCCTGAGAGAGGGCTTGCCACAGCAGCTGGCTTGGCACAGGGGGGCAGACCAGGACTTGGGTGTTGCCCTCACAGAGAATGTGTCCATCTTGGCAGGAGCCCCTGGAGCCAGGACCACAGTGAGGCTTCATGAATATGAGGAGGAGGTAAAGGAGGCAGTAGGAACTCAGCTAAGTGGTGGGAAAAGAATCAAAGCCAGGGCAAGGTCCCAGGTGAGGTTGAAATGCCAAACCACAGGAACAGGAGCCAGGCCGCTCCACCCACTGGCAGCCCCTGACACACGGCCCCGGGCTGCTGACTCAAGCACCCACTCGCACCCTGTGCACTGACTGGAGAGAACCAGCTTGGTTGGGTTAACCCCACCGTTTAAGCCTATACCTGTGCTCTGACTTCTCAGTGGAAATCAACTCATAGACATGTAGGCATGGAAGGAAGGGGCAGTTACTGCAGAGTTTGTCTCATTCTGGGCTATGAGGGAGCGATACTGGGATGGGCAGAGCCTGTGTAGAAATTGCTTCCACGAGCAATTGGGCCATTCAACTCTTGTTCTAGACCTGGAGGCCCGTGAGCGAGAGGCCCAGGCCCATGGGAGTGAGGAGGAGGAGGATAGCCGGAGCACCAGGACACTGGAGCAAGAGGTAAGCATCCAAGTCCCAAGGCCATCTGCCAAGGGAGGAGGATGGGCCTGGATGTTGTCGCGGGTCGATAAGACATTCTCATTCTCCTCTCGGATCTGAGTGACTTGTTCCACCCACATGTTGCTGAGTGCTAGCTTGCAGGTTGAACTCAGGAGCCATTCCATCGAGTCACCTGCAACTCATAGTGGCCCTGTGTACAACAGCCCTAAACCCTGCTCTATCCTGTGTCAGTCTTACTGTCTCTGACACACATACCCCGATTACCCCAGTCACTGAAATCAATCCATCTCATAGAGGGTCTTCTCCTGTGCTGTCCCTCCACTCTCCCAAGCATGACATCCTTCTCCCAGGACTGGTCCCTCCTTACAACAAGTCCAGAGTATGTCAGACGAAGCTTCAGAATCCTTGCCTCCAAGGAGCAGCCTGCTTTAACCCTCTCCAGGGTGAACCTGTTTGTTTTCTTAGTAGTCCATGGTATATTCAATGCTCTTCTCCAACACCACAACTCAAAGGCATCAAGTCCCCTTCTATCATCCTAGTCATTGTCCAGCTCTCTGACGCATAGCAGGTGATTGCAAAGACCATGGCCTGTATCAGGCGTACCTTACTTTCCAGAGTGACATCATTGCTCTTCAGTATTTTGAAGAGGTCCCTAACAGCAGACTTTCCCATCGCAATACATCTTTTAATTTCCATTACAAGGTGAAAAAATTTTAAATTCTGTCTGAACAGAATTGCCATTCCCCAATCCCTTCTCTGCAGATCGAGCGCCTCCGAGAAGAGGGTTCTCGGCAGCTGGAGGAACAGCAGAAGCTGGTCCAGGAACAGATCCGTCAGGACCGTGAACACAGGTTGAGAGGTGAGAATCGATCCCACCTGCGTCTCCCCCAGTCCTCAGCAGCTCTACCTTTCCTCTAGGGAGACTTTCACTTATTGAGACCCTAGAAATATGGTGGTGCAGAGCCTGGCTCCCCCTTGACTAGCACATGCACTGACTGGTTCTCTGGGGTCGATCTAGCATTCTTTTCTTGGCCTGGCCCCATCTGTTTTAGTCCCAAGAAGTTTTCTTTTTGGAGCAGAGCACCAGGGGAAAAGGCACAGTTGTGTTTTGAATTCTGGGGTACCCTGTCGCAGAAGAATTATGCCATTTATATCTCTACTTCCTGCTCTCCAGGACCCAGTGTTCTCAGCACTTAATTTAGAGGGTATTAATAATGAGCATCTGATCTGGGAAGACCACTCCTAGGGTGACAGCTCTCTGGGGTGTGGTTGAGATTACACCTGCGTCCCCCCCAGGCCCTTCACCAGGGTGGGACACATGCTGCCCTTGGTCAGGAGTCCACTTTGCTAAGTTATTCTAGGCTCTGAGCCTTGTCTCTTTTGGAAGAAGTTCTCACTCCCTCATATACTTGCTTCTTTTCCCAATTTTTCTAGGAAAAGCAGAAAATACTGAAAGCAAAGGAACCCCTAAACTAAAGGTGAGTCCTGGTGGGGTCCTTGGGCTACCTCATATCACCTTCTTTCAGAAGACCCTAAATTTCCTATGGTTCAGGAGGAGAGCCTGACTGGGGATGAGCTGGCTTTGAGAATCTCAGACCACTCATCTTTCCTTTTGGCTGCCTGGAAGTCAGAATTGCTTTCTGAGCTCCACCCTGGGAGGTTCTTAATGCTGATGGACACAGGCACAGCGTCCCTTTGAAGCTGACTGAGGGTGAGCAGGACAGCGTCCCTCAGCATTCCCAGGCAGCCTCTCTGCAGGGTCCTCCGTAGATCACAGGTACCTTGAGAAAGAACGATATCTGCTCAGACTGTAAAGTGTGGAATCTGGTACTGCTCAGTTAATTGTGAATGTTTAATGATGATGTCAGTGCTGTTTTTCAGCTAAAATGGAAGTGCAAGAAGGAGGGTGAATCAAAAGGTGGCTACTCCAAAGACGTCCTCCTGCGGCTTTTCCAGAAGGTGTGTTCTGCTGACTTCCCTTCTCTCTTCATCAGCTCGGCCCAAACCTCAGGGTGCTCCTTTCCTAAACGTCCCTTAATGTCTCTATCTACATTTTTTCCTTCTTCTGGTCTGTCTTACAGAGCATTAGGCAGCTCCTTGGCCCCTGTTCTGTCACTGTGTTGCCCTGTGTCCCCTCCAGATAGTCTCTCCTTCACTGCCTCAGTCAGGCCCTTGCCATCCTTTTGGAGGAAAACATTTGACTGAGTATATCAGGGTGGGTGGTGTGACAGGAGAGCACAGTCCTCACCGTCCTCACTGTCCTCAGCTCATGGAAGCAGTTGTGCCGTTCTGCCAGTCCAAGCCCCTCCAGCACTGTGGTGTAGAATATGCACAGCAAAGCACACCAGTCCAGCAGCTGCCGCATGTACAGTTTAGTGACACTGATTACATTCTTCAAGTTGTGCCATCATTTCCACCCTCCTTTTTGGAGTTTTTCCTCCCATATTAACATAAATTCATTGCCCCCTAAGGTTCCAGTGTAATCTTTTAAGTTGTTGCTGCTGTCAATTGCATCCCATGTAGATAGTTCTTAAAAGCCTAATGTTCGGAGCTCAGGTGGCTTAGGGATAGGGAGATGCGCTGCAGGCCCTGGGGTGCACAGTTCAGATCCACCAGCTGCTTTGCAGGGGAGAGAGGGGTAATCTCCTCCCATGGGATTTGCTACCACTGAAAGCTTGCTGGAGGGGTCAGCTGTGACTTGGCTCTGGCTTGAAGGTACATAACAATGACAACAAAAGCAATAAAAAAGCCCTCACCTCACCTCAGTTTTTTTTTTAATAGCTTAATGTTCAAGATTTTTTTACTAGTTTAAGCTAATGTTTCATCTTGGGGCAAGAAAGCTGTGCTGCAGTTCTAAAGACATACAGTTTGAATCCATTAGCTGCTCTGTGGGAGAAGGATGGGCAGTCTCCTCCCATGTGATTAACTGCCTCTGAAAATCTGCCAGTGGGTCAACTATTGGTCAGTTCTGACTCGATGGTACACAATAACAGTTACACGTTTAAGAAGACTTCAGGAGATAGTTTTGGTTTAAGGTTTAAAGATTCTTTCACAGCAGTAGTTTTAGGGGTTCCAAGGTTTGAAAAGTTGTGAGAATTTGAAATTCTGTTCTGCATTTTCTCCCTTTTGATCAGGATTCCTCTGTGGAACCTCTGACCACAATATTCATTAATGCTAATTACGCACCATGTTCTTTAGTCCCTTAGCAAAGGACATAATTTTTCATGGCGGCAATTAGCCATACATTAAATAAGTGCCTCCTCATTTTGATTCTCCTCTGTGGTTTCAAGAGAATTGTTGTTGTTGTTGTTGTTGTTGTTGTTATGTGCCGTCGAGTCGTTTCCGACTCATAGTGACCCTATGCACAACAGCCCTAAACCCTGCTCTATCCTGCGCCAACCGCACCGCCTCTGACACACCCATCCCGATTACCCCAGTCACCAAATCAATCCATCTCATAGAGGGTCTTCCCCTCCTACGTTGTCCCTCAACCCTCCCAAGCATGATGTCCCTCTCCAAGGACCCGTCCCTCCTGGCAACATGTCCAAAGTATGTCAGACAAAGCCCCAGAATCCTTGCCTCCAAGGAGTAGCTTGGTTTAATCCTCTCCAAGACAAATCCGTTTGTTTTCCTGGCAGTCCAGAGTACATTCAGTACCCTTCTCCAGCACCACAGCTCAAAATAGAAACCAATTATTGTGCCTTAGATGACTATTTGAAAACTTTTAAGACCCCAGGTACTATGCAATGAACAAAAAGGACTATAACATTTATTAGGCTAATTAACTGGGATAACCTGTGAAACCATGATCCTAAATCTCCAAACCAAGAAAAATCTATGAAGTGTTTGCTTGTAACCTTACCAGCTACTCTTTCTCTTTCCTTCTTTTTTTTTTAAATTTTTGTGTATATCACACAACATTTACCAATTCAACTTTTTACAGGTATACAACTTATTCACAGCAATTACAGTAATCATCTGTTGTGCTGCATTGACTTACCTGATGTGGCTCCTCTAAGCCATTGACTTTGTTATTTTCACCACATGACTGGGTAGCACTATGCAAATGTTAGGTGTTCGTGGAAAATGCTAACATGAGGATTGGCTGATTTTGCCGTCCCATAAGGCTGAATTAGAGCTGACCCAGAGGTGGAAAACAGGGGTCTTGTGACCATAAAGAAAGAGGAACCTGAAAATTCAGTGCCTCCTTTGGACCTGAGAGCTCTGTGTAAACCAGAGAGCAAGTGAGCGTGCGAGCTGTGGCACTGGAGAGGCAGAGTGAGCCTGCGAGACGGCAGCAGTGATGGTGGCAGCAGCGGTGAACCAGAGACTGGTGTGAGGCACAGCTGTGGGAGCTTGGCTTGCAAAGCAAGGAAGCTGAGTACATGCCAGCTGTGGGTGCTTGGCTTGCAAAGCAAGGAAGCTGAGGACATGCTGGCGAAGTGGGTGCCTTTGGGCACTTGGGGCAGCTGAATGCCAACCTGTGGAGCTAGAGCCCAGGCTGAGCGCCTCCAGGCCTAGGCTTACCAACAGAGTAGCGGTGACAGATAGTGGGCAGAGCTAAGAGAACTTTGTAACACTTGTCCAAGCAGAACAGAGGCCAAGACCATGAGGCCAAAAGTCAGAGAAAGGCCTGCCTGTGAGCACAGCTAAGAAGAGACTGTTTTGACGGACGAATTGTATCCCAAGTGTTTCCCTACCTAAATTGTAACCTGCTCCTTCCCTAATAAACCTCATTAATTGTGAGTATTGTTTGTGAGTTTTGTGTGGCCATTGTAATGAATTATTGTAGAGAAGTAGTGAGGGCCATGGGAGGGTTGGTATTAGATTTGTTAGAAAAAGGTTGTGGGTTGTAGTGGGCATGTTAGACCTTGTAGGAATCCAACCTTCTTCCCCCTTGTGAAGTTAGTGGAGGTCAGACCCTGCCTCCCCCAAGTCTACCACACTATCACTGTTAACCCTCCTTTTCCTCTATTCTACTGACAACCCTGAGCTCCCTTTCTGGAATCCTAATATGATGTTATTCCTCAGACTTTAGCAATTATTTTTTATGAGGGTTATACAACATGAGTAATGTAATTGATGTCACGAAATAATTGTACACAGGAAAATGTAAAATTGACAATTGTTTTATTAATAAGAAGTTATGCCCCAGCTAGCTAGCATGTACCACTGGGCCTCAGGACATCCAGGCTTGTCTGTGACATGGTCTAGTCCATCCTGAAGCTGACCAGGCTGTCTCTTATTCCACAGTATGGTGAAGTTCTCAACCTGGTGCTTTCTAAGAAGAAGGCAGGCACTGCAGTTGTGGAGTTTGCTACTGTGAAAGCTGCGGTGAGTCCTGCATGAGGCTGTAGGGGCCCCTTGGGAGCCTGTGACTCTAGACCAGAGAACTGAAAGCTGTGGACTCTCTGAGCTCTGGTTCACCCTCCCAGAGGCTCTCTGGATCAGATCAGATCTAAGGTCCACCCGACTCCCCTCTCCCCCACTCCTAGGAGTAGATGCTTCACTGGGTGAAGGCCTAGGTGGGAGGTGCTCTGGGGACTCTTCATCCCTGACACTCAGAATGCTCATGCCCAACAATCTCCCACGAGAAGGGTCAGAACTTCAGTGCACCATTGTTTTAAGGTTACTGAGGTTGCCCAAGTCAGCTTGGAGGATCAGAATGCTAGTTCTGTTCCTTTCTGTGGGTGTAGAGAAAGTTACTCCATAGCTGAGGAGGTTGATGAGAATCGATGGGAACCAGGACTAGATGCTCTGTTTGTCTGTTCTGCAGGAGCTGGCTGTCCAGAATGAGGTAGGCCTGGTTGATAACCCTTTGAAGATTTCCTGGTTGGAAGGACAGCCCCAGGGTACAACAGGCCCCATCCACCCAGGATTGTCACAGGTAAAGATCCAGGCCTCACCAAATTGAGTTTACTGTTGATCTGAGGGACAGAATCTTTGTTGGTATTTTCTCACGTCTCTTCTCCCAGATTCAGGCCATCAGAGAATCTAGGAAGAGGGGCTCTGTGTTGACCCCTGCCCTCTCCGAGTGCTGAAGGGACTCTCCACTGAGCAGTATCCTTACACTCTACCTTCCCTCCACATCCAGTCTCCCATTGTCACTCAGAGGCGGTCTTCTGGCCCCGGGTGGCGTGGTTGTGGTGTGAAGCATTGCTATTTACAGGCCCCAGTGCAAGAAAGCAGGTGACTAGGCAGCGGCTTCCCTCCCTAGTGCTTTATTTTTCTAGATAATATCTGTGACTGCCCCAGATAGTGACCAGTGTCAAGTGGCAGCATCACCTCTGGAAATATCACTGGGACACTGCCTCTCCAGAGTCTGGGTGTCCAACTTATGAAGACTAGGCTATTGCGCTGAGGAGTGCCCAATACAAATGGGTAGTCCTCACCACTCCATGAACTACTTTGCTGGCATAGTGGCTTTGGGAGCAGGAGCTAGAAATCTAGCTCTTCTCTGAAATGGCTGGGGCCGGGGAACCTTGTGTGTAAGCCTTCTGCTGATGGTCTGCAGTTCTCTGGGGGGATGAGGCTGCCCCCCACCACCAGGGGACTTGGCTAGAATGGTGTTCTCACTGCCCTCAGGCACCCCACCCCTGCCTGCTACAGTCTTTCTACCTGGCTATAAGTATTGGAAGCTTCCTCTGTGTCCTGGACCCTGATGGGGAGAGAAATGAACTGGTTCTAAGCCCAACTCAAGACCTTTCTTTGGACTTTAGCCCCCCCACCATTAAGTCCCAGCATTCCACAGCCCTGAGCTCCGGTGGTGTAATCTGTAGGAGTTAAACTGTCAACCCAAAGGCAGCACCCTCTAGTGGGTCAAATCCACTGACTGCTCTGTGGGAGAAGATGAGAATCTCCTCCTGTGAAACTTAGAGCCTCCAGAAACCTGCTGAAGGGTCAGTTATAAGCTGTTCTGACTCCACAGATTGATTAGCCCTAGATAATACTACACAGATGGGAGCGTTAAAAGAATTTTATTCATTATTTCCAGCATTCACAGAGGAGCCTGTCAGCCTGGGGAATCCACACACGAAGACAAGGAAAAAGGGAGGCTGCAGGGTGGGTGTTGGGAGCAGAGTTTGTGGCAACTTCAGTCTCTGTCTCCCTTGGAGGGACTTGGGGGTCAGAACCACGCAACCTAGCAGAGAGCTTATGGGCTCTGGTTTTGAGTCCTCCAGCCAGGCCACAGGGCAGGGCAGTTTCACTGGCTGTGGCTCTGGCCCAGTGGGTTTGGCCCTAGTTGGCCAGAGCTCTTCAGTCCTGGTGGAGGATGCTGGTGACCAGCTGTGCTGCTTAGTAACATCCCCTGAGGGAATCCCCCATCTAGTCCTTTGTTTCAGTCTTGTGGGAAGGAAGGAGAGAAATCTACCATTGTTTTTACTGCATTTCCCAAGAGCTCCCATCACTAACAATTTTGGGAGTTCCTTAAAGAGCCTCTTTCTAAGTTGTGTCTGATGCCTTTGGCTGGCATTCCCCAGTGCTGCCTCCCTTGGGCACTGGAGATTGTTGTGAGCAGCTGCACTGGCAGGTTGAGTCTTTCATGTCCACTGTGTTTTAATGGTTGGTTTTTGTCTTTTTCCTGATTAATAGTCTATTTCTCTCCTTCTCTTCCTCCTCTGCCAGACTCCTTGCAGCCCCAGAACTATTCTCCTTCCCCCATCACAGCCAGTGCTGTCCAGTAGACCTTTCTGTGGTTATGTCAGTGTTCATTCTGTCCTGTGTGGTAACAAGTAGGCACACAGGACTACTGAGCACAGAAATGCTGCTCATGGGACTGAAGAGCTTAGTTTTTATTTCATTTCCATTGATTTAAATGGTCACATGACTGATGACTACCATATTGGATAATGAAAGTCATGCTTTCTCATCTCTTTCCTCTTTGACCTGGTTGGGTCACATATGCCTCAGTTTTTCCTGTGACCTCTCCACTGACCACTGTCCCCATCTGTTGTGCCCACTCCGAGTCTCCCCACCCCATGGCTCCCCTCCGCCATCCTTTCCCTCAGCCAGCTCTCTGAACACTTGTTGTGGTTACGGGTGTGGCTTTTCCCAGCCTCACCAGCTTCCTTCAGTGTTCCTGTCAGGAAGTCCCGTCAGATGCTGCCAACTTGCCTCTGCCCTACCACTCTGGGGGGACCTGGAGGACTGTTTCAGGCCCAGAGGTCAGGCTGAGTCCTGCAGCTCTGGCCATTCTTCTCCTTCCTTCAGTCTGCCATTGTACCCATGGTCCCCCAGGCTTCCCGCTCTTTTCAGTTACCCACCTCTTCCCATCCCCACCCCAGTCAGAAGCTGGGCTGACTGGGAAATTGCTCCCTCAGTATCTGTAGAACTTCTTCCAGAAGTGAAATCCCCAGGTCCACTTTGAAGGAGAAGAAGGGGTCACTGAGATCTGGGGCAGGGGTCTCCTGGAAGGAGGGAGTGTCCAAAAGGTCCTCCTCCGAGTACTGGTGAAGGGCGTGCCCCAGGGAGATCGCTGAAGGCAGGGTAGCCGAGTAGGCTGCAGCATAGGCGGGTGAGGGCTCCAGGATGTTGGGGCAGCTGGAGCTCTCTCGGTAGAGGCGTGGGGGCTTGGGTGGGGCCAGCAGGGTGGCCCGGGGCTGCTCGTCTCCCCACAGCGGCAGGCGACGGCCGTCTGGCCTCCCTCGTAGCTCCCTGATGACCTCTCGGTTGCTGTACTCCTCATGGTCACCTCCTGCCGTGCTGGCCTGGCTGAGCACACTGCCCTGGCGTCGGAGTCGCCGTGGCCGCCCCAGAGTCAGCCGCTTGAGGAAGGAGGCATTGCGGAAGGAGCCTTTGCGCCAGGTCTCCATGGGGCCAGGGGCGCCGCAGGCCAGCCTGGAGCACGGAAGCCCAGCAGATGCTCAGGAACAGCTAGTGCCATTTGGCCCTAGCTGGAGCCATGGTTGCAAGATTCAGGAACATTGGTGGGTCAGAAGCAGAAGCCTCGTATAGTCTCAGCACAGCCCCCTTCCCAGCATCATGCCGTGTAGGACGAGGGCCAGAGCAGGGGACACTTTTGTCCAGAAGGGCAGAGAGCTGAGAGTTCCTGACAAAGAGCTCCCCAGAGGAACAGGCCTGGTTACTTGATAGGCCAGTGGAAAAAATCCCAAGAGATAAGAGAGGCACTTACAGGAGCAGGAGTTCCAGCAGCATGTGGTGTCAGAGAAGACGCTCCGTGGGCTGGGCCTGGGCAGAGCCGGGCTGGAGTGCTGTGCAGGCAGAGGGCTGACCACGGGGCTTCCCGCTCTGGCGATTCCTTTGGCTCCTTCGTTGGTCTCGAAGGCAGTGCCAGCCGTGCTCTCTCTGCTGGCGGCGTGTGGACTCTGATTAGTGGCTTGGCTGTTTGTGTGAGTGTGTGGCGGTGCAGATGTGTTTTGTTTTCAGCTGACTCAGTCAGGTGGGAAGCTGGGTTTCATGCTTTTAGGTAATTGCAGCGTCCGCGTGCAGAGATTGGGGCGGCTGTGGCCAACACCCCAGGGCAGTGAGGAGCTTCACATTCCTCCAAGGACTCATCTAGGGACAGCCTTGCTCTATGTGTCACCACTGCTTCCCTTCTCATCATGATCCTGCCACCACCATGTGTCTGGGAGGGAGGAGATGGGGAGGGCGGGTGCTAATTGAAAGGCAGGAGTGTGGAACCATTGTTGAAGAAGGAAGACTGGTTGCTTGCGTGGGTGAGTCAGCCGATCCTGGTGGCAGGCAGTCATTAGCAGAGCCTGCAGGTATGGGGGAAGGTGGCAGAGGGTGTGTTGGCAGGGAGCAGCCCCATGCCTATAAAGGGCTTGGCTCCGCCCAGGGGTTCAGGGTTCAGGGCATGCCAGGGGTGACTCCAGGCTCTCGTGGCAGGTTATCTGGAAGTGGATATTACTCGGCCCCTGGCCTGACACATGGCCTCACTGTCCAGTTTATCTTCCCCAAGAAGGTCTTTTGGGGGGAGCAGCACAGGCTGAAGGCCAGGGCCCTGCTGTCTCCTCTGTTAACTCTGTTCTTTCCCCTCCAGTGCCTGGGCTCATTTGGGTGCCCATCTCAGAGGGAACTCCACACTTCCAGGGTCTGTCATGAGTTGTCAGCAGTGCTGGGGTTGAGGGGTGCTTAGGTAGGTGGGCTGGAAGGAAGGGAAAGGGTGGGGCAGGCAGGAGGCAGGGGGAATCCAGGCTGAGTAACACTTCCTGTTTCTGTACACCCCTTACTCCAAACCAGTTGGTCAGGGCGTACAATCTTAGCTCCAGCCACTCCCTCTTATTTCCTGGGTCAGTGACCCTCAAACTTCCCTCCTGGTGTGTTCCATGAGAGGGTGCCAGCCTGATGTACCATGGGACAGGGCTCTGCAGCTTCATCCTCCATGGCGGCCCAACGCATGCTACAACCCTGGCCAGCGCTGTGCCAAATCAGGTGGGCACCACACAGGGCTTCAAACTGGCTCAGTCATGGCCGATGAAGTGCAACCAGAAGAGACTTGTTTTTTAAAAACTGGAGTGATCTGGAACACTGACTGGATTGGAAAGAATTTTACCAGGCAAAACCCTGGAATGGGAGTCTCAGAAGAGGCATCGGGAGTCCTTTCAGGAGTCTGACATAGAAAGTGGGTTGTTGGCAGGACTGCAGAGAGCAACACCCATTCAGAGATATGGTTGCTATGCAACTCCACACAGTCCTTGTTCTAAGAGGAAGATTAAGTTTCTAGCGGCGTTTCAAACCCATGATTTTACCCATTCCAGTTCACACATACTTTGAAAACTCAGGCCTATTCACAGCTCCATGAGCCATGATTGAATTAGACTGAACTGGTTTGAAGCATTAGCCACCTAAGAAGCTGTGGGGACCACATGCTCACCAGGACCTTAGCTGCACTGCAGGAGGAAGTTATTTCATTCCCACCTTAGACCTTATCAGGGCGTAGTGTTGGTGGCTCCTGTTTGCCATAGACTTGCTTCTCCACCCTACAGTCTTCCCTGATTGAGAAGGTTGTTTATTATTCTTTTGATTATTAAATACAGCACTCTTTAATCCCCTACACAGAGCTGCCAAGATCATAAAAGGAAAAATCCACGGCCCTGCCCTTTGAGAGCCCTGCTATGTATTTTTAGGAGGGCACCAGACCTACTCTTGTTTATCTCTCCTTCCAGGGTGGGACTGTTTGAGGCCATGTCTAGGGCAGGGCTTGCTTCTTCTGCATCTTCAGCAGAAGCCAAGCCACAGGAAAGACAGGTAGCTGGGAGGGGACAGTGTTGTCACCTTTGCCAGGCACAGCAGAGTGACCCTCTGCACCTCTGACAGTTTCCCTTCATAAGAAATTCATGAGAGGCAGAACCATGGGATGGAAGAGAATGAAGGGAGGCGAGAGCCTGGTGAGCAGGGGAAGTGATTCACACAGTGACATGAGCCAGAGCTGACAGATGTGGGGGACTGGTGATGGGGGCAGGGACTCAGCTGTTTGAGATAGGCTGGAGGGGAACCACATGGCAGGAAGCCAGCCTGGAAGCCACACACCTGCCTGCTGTATAGGGCTCATGAGTTGATTGTCTAGGTTGTCCCCTGGTCCTTTCCTGGGCGCCCTCACCCTCTTGTTTCCTTCATCCTTAAGACTGTGGCTCTGTGCAGACTCCACCTGAAGCCTAGCATGTCTGGACTCTGTCCTGTGCCACTGACCCCCATGTCCCTGCTGTACCTCCAGGGCTCAGTGCTGTCCGAGAGGGACTACGAGAGCCTCGTCATGATGCGCATGCGGCAGGCAGCTGAGCGGCAGCAGCTGATCGCCCAGATGCAGGAAGAGGACAAGGAGGGGCCACCCACATAGCCCCTGGCTCTGACCCCTCCCACCTTACAGCCCTTTTTTTAAAACATCACAATAAACATTTTTTTAAGAGTCTATTATGTTCTTGGGTGTAGGATGCTACCTGCCCAAGCATGGCCCTGGTTTCTGGGCTCCATCTCAGAGGCCTCCACCCAGGCCCAGGTCCCCTTCTCTGGAGTGGGCTTGCTCACTCAGGGAAAGGCTGCACATGAGAGTCAATACAAAGCAAGCAGAGGGATAACCACTCATCAGAGCACTTTATTGGCGTGGACTAGGTATATAGGACCCACCCGCCCAGGTCCTGGGGCCATCCCCCACTCGGCTGCCTAGGTCGTCCAGGCCCTGCATTCCATCCCCAGGATACTGCCTGTTCCAGGGCCTAGCAGAGCATCAGAGAAGGGGCTCTCCCAGCATGACCGAGGCAGGGTTTCAGAGACCATCCCTGACCTTTGGTACTGAATGGAAGAAAGGGGCAATTGGGAAGAGAGACAGGAGAGTCGTGAGGCAGGGCCTGGAGGGCCCATGGCAGCTGCTCAGCGTGAGGTCACTCCTTGTGCAGGCACCACACCAGCGTCTGGCCCACCCCTGTCATGCTCAACACACGGAAGCCCTGGCGTTCCAGCTTGTCCAGCACTATGCGTGGAGGGTCATTGACGTAATACTCACAGCTGTGAAGAGACCAAGGAGGGCAGGGGGGAGGTACAGTAAGCCCCCTTCTGGACAGTCCGCCCTTCCCCCAGAGCTCCAGCCTGCCCTAAGGTGAGGTCAAAGAGCAGCATGGTGACACACTGCGCCTGGCCAAGGGCACGACCTCCACCCACACCCCACTGTGCACGTTACATGCAAAATCTCAATCTCAGAGCTCACTGCCATTGTGTCATAGCGGCCCTCCATCAGGTTTCTGAAGCTGTAAATCACACAGGAGGACACTACCCATCTTTCTCCCTCAGAACTCCTGGTGGATTCGAACTACCAGAGAGGCGCAGCCTTTAATCTACTATGCCACCAGTTCTCCCTACCAACAGCTTAATGAGGAACTGCTGTTGTCCCAATTTTATAAGTGAGAAAACATAAAAGGTTTAAGTAGCTTTCTCAATGTCACAGATCAGGGGACTCGTGTCAGTCTAACAGCCACCAGAGTTGCTGTGGGCTAGGGGACATCAGAAAGACTGCTCTCCAGCATTCACTCTCCTGGTCACTCTGCTGTCCTGCATCCAACAGGCCCAGGGCAACAAGGATGGTCTTTAAGAGATCCCAGTTCTGTGTAATTACCTACCATCAGGAATGCATGGTTCCCTTTCTCAGTAATGACTAATGATGCAGGGCCAAAGAACAATCAAGAGCTCCCCAAGCCAGGCATCACAAATCCCTCATGACAAAGGGGTAGGGTTGGCTTCTGCCCTAGACTTCTAGCCTAGATCCAGGGGCTGGGATCAATTCACCTTCCCTTTCCCTCTGAGCTAGAGACTCACTCTGACAACTCCTTCGGAGTTCTGAACCTTTGTAGCCAGACTTCTCCCTTCCACAGGTTTGGAGAGTGGGGGACCAGGAAAGGAAGCAGCGGTCACAGTGCAGACCTGTGGATGCTGTAAAGACTGCCAAGAGAATGGCCCAGCCCCCAGGCAGCAGCTGAAGTGGGGCTTAGGCTTGGCTTCATTACTCACCTATCTCTGAGACAGAAGCCCATCTTTTCTATGCTTACCTTTGCCTTGATAGGAACCAGCACAGAGGCATAAGGGCAAGGCCAGGAATGTCTGCTTATGGAGCGCCACACTCGAGGAACAGGACTTAGTGTTCCACTAAGGAAGGACCAGTGAGAAAGCTTTCAGAGGGTTCTTGGGGGTCAGATGAGCCCCTTCAGAGGACAGAGCCCCAGAGTACAGCAGGACTACAGCTGAGCAGTGACACTGTCCCTAAGTATTTAGAGATTGTATAAGGAGCCCTAGTAACACAATTGTTACAGGTTGGGCTGCTACTGAAAGGTTAGTTGTTTGACTATCCTGGCTGCTCTGGTGGCCAAGTGGTAAGGAGTTGTGCTGCCAACCCAAAATCAAGTGGTTTGAACCCACCAGCTGCTTCTTGGAAGAAAGAGAAGCAATCTCCTTCCATGCATGTGGTATACTGCCTCTGAAAATCCACTGGAGGGTCAACTATGACTAGGTTCAGACTCAACAGCACCTAATAATAAAATGGGGGAAAGATGAGGCATTTCCTTCCATAGATTTATAACATCAGAAGCTGAAAGGAGGGCATCTACCCTGGTTAGAATCAATTCTAAGGCAGTGGGCTGGGTTGATGGCCATCCAAGGGAAACAGGCAGTTGGAGATGCTGACAGGGAGAAGACATAGTAGTATGCCACACTTACAAGTTGTTTCCCAGGACACTTCTCTTTGAAGCCCCCAGCTGCCGCATCAGCTCTGGATCTGAGTGCTCATCACCCACCATGGTGGGGCCCACCTCCTGGAAGGGAAATTTAATTGGCTTCCAGATAGCAATGGATGGTCTCACCTCTCCATCCTCCTCTGCCTGCTGGCTCTAAGTCTGCTATTAACAGCTAGAGGAGGTGGAAGGGTTCATGGGACTGAGCACAAGCTAGGAAAGGAGGAGCAGAGCATGTCAGTGATCGGATGACCAGGCTGAGCAGTGGGGGCTTCCCTACCCTCCTCTCAGCGGCACAGAGCTGAGTGTTGCCTGACAGCACTTTCCCACCAGACACCACCACTCACGTATGTGTGTGTAAGAACCACCTGAGAAAAGAGGGAGATACAAGCAAACCTCCCCACGAAAACTTGTACATGAATGCTGATGGTAGCACTATTCAAAATAGCCAAAAGTGGTGACAACTCAAATGTCTGTCAACAGGTGAGTGGACAAAATGTGATATGTGCCATTGAGTGGCCTGCGACTCATAGTGACCCTATGTACAACAGCCCTAAGCCCTGCTCTATCCTGTGTCAATCTCACTGTCTCCCACACACCTATTCCCATTACCCCAGTCACTGAATCAGTCCACCTCATAGAGGGTTTTCCTTTTCTGTGCTGTCCTCCACCCTTCCAAGCATTACGTCCTTCTCCGAGGACTGGTCCCTCCTTGCAGCATGTCCAAAGTATGTCAGACAAAGCTTCAGAATCCTTGCAGCTTGGTTTAACCCTCTTCAGGATGAACCTCTTCATTTTCTTAGCAGTCCATGGTATGATCAATACTCTTCTCCAACACCACAGCTCAAAGGCATCAATTCTTCTATCCTCCATAATCATTGTCCAGCTCTCTGACACATGTGATTGCAAGTGATTGCAAAGACCATGGACTGTATCAGGTGTGCCTTAGTCTCCAGAGTGACATCATTGCTCTCCAGTACTCTGGAGAGGTTTCTAACAGCAGACTTTCCCATTACACTACGTCTTTTGGTTTCTGGCCTGTTGGCACCAAGAGTGTTGACTGTGTTGCCAAGCAAACGAAAGCTAATAATAATTTCAATCTCTTTACCATCCGTCCTGATGCTGCCAGTTGGCCCAGTGGTGTGAATCTTTGTCTTCTTGACATTGAGCCTCAATCCATATTGGAGGCTGCAGTCCTTGACCCTTTGCAGCAAGTGCTTCAGGTCCTCCTCAGTTTCAGGGAGCAGGGTTGTGTCATCTGCATAACACAGGCTGTAGATGCATCTTCCTCCAATCCTGACGCCACACTTGTCCTCATAGAGTCCAGCCTCCCAGATAATCTGTTCTGCATCTAGATTGAGGTATGGAGACAGGACACATCCCTGGCATACACCCTTCCCAATCTGAACCATGCAGTGTTTTCTTGCAGACTGTCTCCTGGTCCAAGTATAGATTTCGCATTAGCACGATCAAATGTTCTATAACGATGGAATATTCAGGAATAAAAAGGATAAAGGGCTTTACATGGAACAATGTGGCTAAATCTTGAAAGCACCCTAAAGAAGAGAAGCCAGACACAAAAGAGCATGTACTGTGTGATTTCATTTCTATGAATGTCCAGAATAGGCAAGTCTAGAGGTAGAAATAAGATTAGTGCTTGACTAGGGTTGAGAAGCAAAAATGTTGTGTCTTCATCTCACATACTTTGAGCATATTGTCAGGAGGAGCCAATCCTTGGAAAAACATGTTCTGCTGGGAAAGTGGAGGATCCCCAAAGGAGAGAAAGACCTTGAAGGGGATGGACTGACACAGTGGCCTGAGCATCGCAGAGATTTTGAGGATTGCACAGAATCTGGCAGGTTTATAGAACTGCTATGAGCTCTGTTACACCACCAGCAACAGGGTTGGGAAGATATGGGGATTGACATTTATGGATATGGAGTTTCTTTTGGGGGATGATGATAACATGTTCAAATGCTGATTATGATGATGGTTGCACAACTCCAAATATATTAAAAACTATTGCACATTGCACTGTAAATGGGTGAATTGTATGCAGTGTGAACTGTGTATTAAAAACCCCCAACCCTGTTACATTGTTAAAAGCAAAAGAAAAAAGAATCACCTAGGGAGCATATTTCCAAGTGTAACGCTCCAGGCCCCACACCTCTTGTTTTTCTGGAGATCTAGTCCCAGAGGCCCACATTTCAATCACTCTTCAGGTACAGGTTCTTACACTATTGCCCTAAAGTACTGTCAGGACCTCTCCTGACTGTGCAATGGGCTCACCTGCTATTTCCTTCACCCTGAAGGAGCGATGTGTCCGCGGGGGTGGAGCTGGTCACCAAGCATGGGGGAGGGGGAAGAGTGTCACCAACCATGGGTAGGGGGCAAGGCAAAACATCCTGGCGCCTTAGGAGAACACGTTTTGAAGAGGGAATTTCTGAGGTAACAAAGGTCAGAACCTTATTTTTACGGAAGAAATTGTGCCCTGAGAAAAAGATGTGACCTTTGAATCCTGGCCCGAGCTCTTCTAACTCCTAAAGCCTCAGAGTTAGCCCTCCCGGAAGAGGCCAAGGGTGCATTTAGTGGCTGTGTGAGGAGTGGATTCGGCCAGAACAGGAATTTCACCCCTTCTGCTCGGCCTCCCCAGCTCCGACTCCTTCCCTTGTCCCCTGCAGCACTAGC